CCACACACACACTGCACCCTAGCTTCTCCTTCAGAGGGTCCTAGCCGCCTGACATGGAGAGAGGATGGTCTCTGCTCCCAGGGGCACTTGTCCAGGTGGGCAAAGCCCACAGGCCAGTATAAGTGGGAGTTGGGGCCCTGACAGATTTGGCTCAGTGGATAGAGCGTCAGCCTTCGGACTGAAGGGTCCCAGGTTCGATTCCGGTCAAGGGCATGTACCTTGGTTGCGGGCACATCCCCAGTAGGGGGTGTGCAGGAGGCAGCTGATCGATGTTTCTCTCTATCCCTCTCCCTTCCTCTCTGTAAAAAATCAATAAAATGTATTTTTTAAAAAAAACACCAATTGTTTATTTAAAAAAATAAGTGGGAGCTGGGGCATCTCTGCTCCTTTCCTGTGGGTGGCCAGGTGTCATTCCAAGGTGGTTCTGAGCCTTCCACTCCTGGGTTTCCTGGACTGACTTGTGACTGACATATTTAGTTTGGGGCCAAGGAGCAGGGAGAAACATCAGAGATGGGAGTTTGGCCGAACTGGGACCTCCCAGCCCTGTACCACCGCTGGGTCTTTTCCATAGATCCCCGGGCCCCCCGTTAGTGTCCCTTCCTTCAGGTTCTATCCAGCCCAGCCCAGCCCAGCCCAGCAGGAGCCCGGATGACTCCCATGTTTCTATCCGAGGACCACTGGTGGTCTGTGAGGTCCAAAAGGTTGGCGACTGCTGATCTAGGCAACGATAAGACAAGTTTGCATTTGTTGAGCATTTACAGTGCTAAGTACTTCACAATGACCTGTGGGGGTAGAAACTATCATCACCCCCACTTCTCAGGTGGTAAATAGGCAGACTGATTGAGTTCTGGATCATAGAAAGTGAAGAACTGGGACTCGAATCCAGGTCTCTGTCATAGCATCTGTGTGGACAGAGGGTGGTGCCTGGCCCAGCCTCCTGGGAAACCTATCCCAGGGCAGCTGTGGCCAGAGGTGTTGCCCACCTGTCTTCTGTCAAGTGCATGAAACTGCATCCAGTCCTACTACTTCTCACCTGTCAGCAACTGTTCCCCGTCTTGGTCTCTTAGACCATCCATTTGCCCCTTAATCATTTGCATCAACACCCAAACATGGTGCACTTTCTTCTATATTAAAAAACATCAAATCTTGACCCCATTGCTCCTCCAGCTGTCCCCATGTCACTGCTCCCTTTACAGGGGCAATTCAGACACTGAGGTCCTCACCTCTCCTAGCAAGGCTTCTAATGAATGTCACCATCTCATGTTCCTCTTACTTTACAGGCCCTTCCTTGTCACCCTTTCAGTTTTCCTCCTCTTGTCCAACCTGTGATCCTTAGAGGCCCCAGGCATGATCATGGCTCTTCTCCTCTATGCTATTGGACTGTGCTGACAGCTCCAGCCAGAACCTTCTCTTGGACTAGAGCCCCACTTGTCTTCACCTGGTTGCCCTGGAAAAGTCTGTGGCAAAGTTTAAGAGTTTTATTAGGGGATGAAACTTCAGGGAAGCGCGTTAGGGAATAAGGGAAATGAAGCAAGGAGAGAGCAGATATAGGCAGTATGTTCTTGAACCGACCACAGTGGCTCACGGGCTACTCAGGATAGGCCAGAGATGTGCTGGGGACAGTCCATCAAGGGGAGGAAGATAACTTATCTGCTGACAAGTCCCCACCTATTTCTTTGTGTCACCTGGGCAGCACGTTGTGGAAGCCAGCACCCCTGGGAGAACAGGTCAGGTGAAGGTGGTGAGGAGGCCGTGGCAAAGGCTGGCCCTTTGCCTAGGGAGAGGCTGAAACATGGGGGACAGAGGAGACCAGAGCTTTGTGACTACAGGATGGGACACACTATTGCTGGGACATTCTTGCTGGGAGCCAAGGCTTGGGAGCAGGTATGGCTGAGCAGATCAGAAAGGTTCAAAACCTGGGTCCAGGTCACCCCCAAACCTGCTCCCCTCACAGCCTTCTTCATCTCACTGATACAAAGAGCAACTCCATTCTCCCAGCTTCTTGGGCCAGAATTCCGGTCACCTTTGGCTCTTCCTCTTCTGTACCTTCAGAATATATCCAGCATCCTCTCCCATCCACCCTGCGGCCAGCTTCCCCCTCAGCTGCCACATGGGTGCCTGCTCTCCCTGCTTCCACCCATGCCTGCCTCACCTCAGCTCAGAGGAAACTTTCCAAAGAAACATCTCACCATTCCTCAGCTCCAAATCCTCCAAGACCTTCCTGTCACAGAAGCTGGGAGTTAAAACCATGTCCTTGCTGGGGCCTTGAAGACTTCACGCCGACTCCCCTTCACCTCTTTAACCCTCCCTCAGCTCCAGGAATTCCGCCTCCTTGCTGTTCCTGGGATATCCTGGCCCACTCTTGTCTTGGGACCTCTCTTTCTAAGGAGCCAGAGTCTGGACAGGAGGAAGCAGCTGACCAGAGGAGTGAGGGCAGGCCCCGTCCATCACTGAAAGTCCCAGCAAACACACTGAAGGCAGGTTCTCAAGTCACTTCTTCAGCATTTTATTTCTGTCTCGAGTTCCAAGGAAGCTGACCCCAAGGAGCCTTGGAGGAGCCTGGTACTGCTAGGGAAGGCCATGTGCTGAGCAGAAAAGGAGCTGGTGTCGGTGACCCTCAGAGGAGAGCCATGCCTGCACTTTCCCTCCCTGTAGGCAGTGAGCAGGGCGGAAAGCTTAGCCTCAGGCCTCTTTCCTGAGAGGCAAACAGCACACAGCCTCTGAGGCTACAGGCACTGCGGCTGTCTCTAGCCACAGTGGGGAGACAATGGCCTGGTCTCAAGGATTTTGTGGGACAGAAGAGGCCAGCCAAGCCTATCACCTTCCTGTGTGGGGAAGTGGGCACCAGGGTGTGAGATGGGCAGGAGGCCACATCCTGAAAAAAAGCGACAGCCTAGCCTGGCCAGTGTCGCTCCAGTGGTTGAACATCAACCATGAACCAAGAGGTCACCAGTAGATTCCTGGCCAGGGCACATCCTGGTTGTAGACTCAATCCCCAGTAGGGGGCGTGCAGGAGGCAGCTGATGGATGTTTCGATGTTTCTATCTCCCTATGCCTCTAAAAATCAATAAAAACTTATTAAAAAGAGGGGGGAGGGGACAGCCTAGGCTGTTTCTACTCCTTCACCTGCAGCTCCACAGGACCTCAGCTGAGGAGGAGGCCATCAGGGTGCCATCAGCAAGCACCCTGAGAAGGAAAGGGCCCCATGGGAAGTGGCTGGGGAACACCCAACTGAAACACAACAGGCTCTGGCTCTGCCACTTTAGAGAGTGCTACGATGCACTTTAATGATTGCCCTGCCCCTCTCTAGCCAGGCAGCCCCCATGGGCTCTAGCTGGCCCCCCTCTAGTCGCAGGAGCCATCCTTCCAACCATCACGCCAGCGCTCATCCACTTTAGAGCAGTCGAAGTCCGGCTTGCCTAGCTTTCGGTTCACCTCGTTGTGCAGGCGGCACAGCCACTGGGTGAAAGATGCCCGTGTGCGCGTGTCTGGCTGGTTCCTATATATCCTGTGGGGGGGAAGCACATGGAGAATGAGGACGGGCAGTGGTCCACCAGCTCAATTCAGAGAGAGATGGGATGCTGCTGTAAGCTACACCCAGGTGTATCTCATGTTCTGAGAGACAGGAATTCCCAGAACAGGGCTGACCCCATAGTGTCCAGGCTTGGTGGACTCTTAGGCCTGCTCAAAACCTCACGTGGGGAGCTTGATAAACCCTCACAAGAGCCCAGGGCAAGACATTAACTCAGATCAGGCAACTTTACAACCTCATAACAATCAGGAAGCCTCACCCAGCTTCCCTGGCCCCAAGCAGTGTGGAAAGGGTGGGGCCTGCACAAAGGCTTACCTAACAGCCAGACCAGTTTCTCAGCATGTGGGGCCCTGGTGCCTCCGCTCAGCAGGAGACCGTTTTTTAACTGCCCAGGCTTCAAAAGGCAAGGGCTGCCTTGCCCCCCACATCCAGAAAGGCCTATGGGTGTCAGAAGGCCCCAGGCTGCTTGCCCTTTGAGTAGAAAGATGGCTGATGATCCAATCCCCACTGTTTTGTCCCTGCTCTTGGCAATTCTCTGCCATTTCTGCACCTATTTCTCTGAGGCTCTCCTTTATGACATCCGTCAAGGGCCACAGGCCCAGGCTCCAGGGGGGATGCTCTGCTGCTTGCAGACGGTACAGAGTAACTTACCTCTTCCTTATGTCTTCTGCACACTCCTCACATGGGTAAAATTTGGAAAATAAATGTATGAGTTGGGCCATATCTTGCTGCTGTTCTGGGGTGGGCAGGTCGGGGTAGTAGGCGGCCAGGGTGTGTAGGACGGCCCAGCTGTGGCGGCCCAGTTCCTCACGATCCTGAGGACAATCTTCCCTAAATTTGCTGCCCCGCTGCGGAAGGAGGCGAAGGGTCAGTCTCCCCGGACCAGAAGCCTATGAAGCTCCCCTTTTCCCCTCCCCGGCCGGAGGCCCAGGCTCCAAACGTTAGTCCTGCGCGGATCCGGGCCTACCTTGGGGGCAAGGTTCAGGCACAGCCAACCCTGGGGGCGAACGTCCATCAGG